GATTGAGCAGGGGACGTTCTGCAAAACAAATAGTCCGTCCTCGTGGGGGAAAAGAGGAGAGGAATTCTGTGTTTCCTACCTAAGCGTAACTACACACCTTGTCTAGGAGAACCCATTACTATTTCGTTTTAGAAATATCGTACAGGAGTATCCGAAAGAAATGTTACCGCCTCCATCGGGTGCGTAACATACTTCATTCTGTGAATTATCATCGCGTATTGAAAGGTTCGATGGGTGCTGTGGGGTCAGAGGTCATCTGCCGTTTTGTTGAGCTACCATAGAGAATAGACTTTATAAAAATTGCAAAAATGTGCACATCTGGGGTGCAAAGACAAATAAATAGTTCAATTTAGTACTTCCTAAATAAGACAATCCTTCTAATCAGCACGTTTAAGGTGAAAGAATCGCAGTAGTTTTCAACCGATTAGCGTGAAACCACATGGCTTTACAACTTCGAACACCAAACAATCAGCGGATCCCTCACAAATATGAAACAGAACAACTTGGTCAGTAAAATGTTCTGCCCAATCCATATCCCTCTGTGAGAGTTAACGTTCCCATTTTGATCTGAATTTCAACGGCGTTCTTTGAAACAATAGAAAGCTAATTTTAATCTAAGAATGTGGATTGTCTGTTTAGTTTCATGAGTCATTGTTTGAGATCTACCCCACTCAACTTCGGAGTCCACAAAGCCTTCCAAATGCGTATATCACCAAAATCCAAAACACTTTGACGAAATTCACTGTTCGAGACGTTTGACCGATATTATGGACCTTCGTCCGGCTAGCCATCTTGCTTGTGTTTGTGATGATACATGCATATTGCTAGAACAACTTTTGTCGGATAAAACAAATGGCAGTTTGCATACCACAATGAGTCATTAGGCGAATGATCGATTTCATAACCAAATCCAGACATCCTACCTCTCTGATTGTAAACCAAATCATTACAACCGCGGGCATCGGATTAACCGGAACAGACTGATTCAAACTGATTTCAATCGTATCCCGTGGAAATTCTTCTCGAATCAGTGTTACTTACGGTAAACAATTTCTCCTCCCTTCCCGCGTTCGGGGTTGCACCCGGTTGCACAAAAGCAGTTCACTCACAATGTCAGCTTTCTTTCTAGCCTTACCAGGGAGTACACTCAACGAATGTGCTCGTCCTGCTCACCTCAGATGTGTACAATGTGAATCCATTGGCATGCATGCCAGCAGGTGCGGTAATGACACCCAGTTCGTCGAGTGTATCTACATCCGCTAACTAATGCTTTAAGTTCCATAGCCAAAAAGCGCCACTGTCAAACAATTAGGGTGGCCTCTCTGTGAATTCCGGTTCAAACCCTAATCAGTACTATTTGGAGTGCTAATTTGATTGTCTAATTAATATAAAAAGTAATCTAAAATTGTAATGAAGATAAAACTGGTTAGAACTTTTGACCCTTCAGGTGAACCTCACTAAGGTGACTGCGATACAGCATACGAGGTTTGCGAGCATACAGAGAGTGTTCAAGTACACTTGTATTCGTGGGGTCAGAACACGTGGCCTTTAGGTTGATCGGTTGACAATCTGAACCATATTTTGTTCCGGTCAAACGACCATGAGCACTGATCACATGACCACGAAGGTTGTGTTCGAACTTCATTTGATTAACCGTGATTACTTTATCCATGTGGCAAATCGATGGGACAGTTACTTCAAACATATCACCTACACCAAAGTGTGTGAGCAGATCAGGTAGAAACAGAAACAAAATATCATATTAACAACATATACCCCAATCCCACCCCACCCCACCCCATCCCTTTCTCTCGATCATCAGAACTCACAATAGAGAACTTCGTTCCTGTGACGAAACCAGACGGTTACATCCATCCGGTAACCATCCTTGTCAAATACCTCACCGCCAACTTTGATAACAGACGTGTCGTACGATCGCGAGGTAGGACTGACAGAACCGCCACGAAGATGCAACATTTTGGCTGGGGCCATCGAATAATAAGAACAAGTGAGATGAGAACGTGAGATAGGTGACGGATTGGGTCACGAAAACAATTCAACTATCCACTTTCACGTGAATCGGGATCAAGTGTGTCTTCTGCGGATGTGTTGCGCTGGGGTACGCTTGATTGGACGTGCTCAAAACCCAGAGCAGCAGTGAAAGAGAGCGAACGAGGAGAAAACCACACGTGTCAGTGTCAAAGTGCTTAAACGGCTGTGGTCAAGCACACACACACACACAAGGAGAGAGAAAAGTAACCGGACTCAAACGTTTCGCAACTCTTTCTTTTTCCCCAGCTGAAGCTTGTTGGGATATCAATTGAATCGGACGGAGCACAACCACGAGACGGGAATTTAACCCGAAACTTTCAGCGAAAACGAAACCACGCACTGTGTTGCCCCGGGGATAGGATTCGTGAGGCTCGTGAGACTCCACTTGGATGACACCGGTAACAGCAACAGCACGCGGAAGCGAGAGAGAGAGAGAGAGCGAGATGATGCGTTCAAGGTCGATTTCTGGCCTCTTTTGGCCAGTGTGCATAAGCCTGCCCAATCTGAATGTTTGTATAGGTGGGTGGGTGGGTGGATGGGAATTGAGTGAAATATTTAGAGTAGAATCGTATTGTCTACTACGTCTAGCTGTCTGTCTGTTTATCCACGCACGCATTTATCTGTCGGTTAGTTTGCCGGGCAGTCAGTCTGTCAGTCGATCAATCAATCTGTCTATCGTTCTACCTGTGTATGTGCACGTCTGAACTGAACTGCGTGGGTGGAAACCAGTTATACTTGACTTGGGCAATCTGAACGTTTGCGCGCATGCCTCGTCCCACCTGGCACACCCGTCTTCCTGTGTGCGCACACAAATTTCACGGGGATCGCCTTTGCCCATGTGCCCTTGTTGCAAACCCTACAAGATAAAAAACAACAACAAGAAAACCTGTTTCCAGTATACCCGTTTCCATATAGAATGAAGCGGTTTTCATGCTCGGTGTTGTTGTTGTTGTTGTTGTTGCTCCGTTCCGATTGTGTTCACGTCCAAAACTCATTGCGCACACATTGGGGATCATATGTGCACACCCGATCCACCAAGGTTCATTGGGAAGGACGGGTGAATAGATGGACGGACAGACAGGCTGCCTGATTGGTCTGTTCGGCACTTCAACTTGTGTCTGTCTTCTTGGAAGTGAACTAACAAACGCCAAACCAACCCAAGTGGCCCGATCTGTGATCAATAGATGATTGGGACTGGCAATCCGATCGAGCAAATGGCCAGTAGTGCTAACGGTTCCCGGTTCGGTCACTGTTGGCGCGCCGTCGGTCGGTCATGTGGCCGAACCGCGTGTATGCGCGCACAGACTGGCGCTCATTTGGACGTGCGCACTGCCGGTCCGGCACAGATGAGGAACGCTCATGCGTGTTCCGGTCAGCGTATGGTGGTACGTCCATGCAGCCGATCAAACAGCACATCTCACACCAGGGCGAGGAAAATGAGTTACACAGAGAATTTTCAGCGGCTTGAAAATAACAAACGACTCGGTTTTTGTCTAACTGACAGGGCAAAACGGACAACAACAAAAAGAAAAGAACAACACGCTAGTAGTGTCTTAACGTTGCTATTTTTTTTTAAGGATCGCTACGTAGCCCGACTATATTTTCGCCCACAACTTCCGGTTTGGCATCATCACCTGTCCACGGCACCTACTTATCAATCGGTCTGTGAATCTTTGTTGTGACTATGTGTACCACGCGCCCCATCCATCAGATAGAAGAAAACATCATCAAACACATGAAAATAGCGCCGGAACACGAGCGTATGCACACAACACCGGCCGGTTGGACGGGCATGAAAGTGTGACAGTTGAACAGTAAATGTGTGTGTGTGTGTGTGCTTGTTGCGTATGTGTGTGTGTGTATGAAAGGGCGAGAATTGATTTCCGAGATTTGAGAACCGCGGATTACACAGAGGGGATTTAGAAGTTTAGGGAACCCTAAAAACTGGGCAAGACAACTGTTTGGTGGAATCACTCCCAGTTCGACCGGGTCAGTGAACGAAGACACAAGTGGATTTCATTGCCAATTTTCTAGACATCCATGAAATGCCTGAAGCGCTTACTTATGATCATGTACAATTGTTGATATCGTTTAGCAGCGGAAGGGTGAACAATTATAGAACGAGGCGATCATTTAAGAGGTAATGGTGTCCAATCAACAGATTGTTGCAATCAATGAAGCCCTTTGAACGATCGTTTGAGATCCACGAGCCTAGTTGTGACTATGCACTGACTGACTGTACCATCAATTGAATGTTTGTGTGCATGTTTGTGTGTAGAACGACGTGAGTTCGAGCGTATCATATACGAAGAAGCAAATGGACCTGATTTATAAAAGCATAAAAATCAACGATCAGCCCTAGTACGAAACACAGAAAAGGATTTCTTGAAGCCTGGCATCTATCAGAAAACTCATTCAACCGGCGACACAAGAACCAATAAATGAAAAAAGTGGGTAGCATGCCCACGTTCTTCGCATGAGGTCTGGGTGTTAGATCCCCAGTTTGGCTGATGGGTTCGCACTGTTGATGAGACCTAACCAGTGCTTTTCAGCTTCTCAGCTCACGCCTCATTTTCACGACGAATTCACCATCAAATGCAAAGAAGGCCAAGCGTGCCACATCGAAACCGCAACAGCAGATTGATCGGCCAACGACAAACCATACAACTACCCATTAATATCTTATCCTCTGGCGATATAAGTTGAATAACAGTCAGTTACCTTCGGCTACACCACTAACCAATCAATGAAGGGAAACGGACGCTCACAAGCAATCATCCGGATACCGCAAAGACAATAGCATCCCGTTTTTTGACGGGAAGTTTGGAATTCAAGTCACTTGGATTATATGAGCTAGAAACCCAGTTTAGGCTGTGAATGCCCAATATCAACGGCACGTGTCACCGTTGAAGTGATCGACACAGAAGAACCAATCTGGTGCTATAACAACATGCACGAACAATCGAGAAGTATTACGGATATAGCAGTTGTCGGTTGACCTTTAAACATCGGGTAGATTCAAAGCTGCCGCTTTGTTCACTGATTCAACTGCATTTGTTGAACTATGTATGCATCCAAAATATGAAGTTATGCCGGTCTCTTTTACACAAAGAAATATCAATCTATCATTGCTTACTTCTGTTTGTTATTAAAAAGACGAATAATCATTATCATCACTCGAAACGCGTCTCTGATTTTTCGAATCCAACTGTAAAGAGATTGCCTCCAGTGCTCAAAATTGAAGAGGAGCAAATGGAACATGGACGAGATGAAAGTGCAATACCTGTATAAAGTCTATGAGTCATTTTAATAAATAAATTACAGTTAGGTTTTCTACTGTGACCTTGTTATCTTACAACTGATGCATTTGAAAAAATCGTTGAAATCGCGAAATTGTACAATTTACTGGCATGTGGCTAATAGAAGTAGTGACACAAGTGAATATTATATCAGATATGTGGCATCTGATGTGGGTCAATATCATATTCAATCCCGTGAATGAGGCTGGAAGAATAAAGCATTGAGAGGAACAAATGTAATAAAAATCAGGATGTTGCACGAGTTTGGTCAATACCTGTATGTCCCTATATGTCCGTTAGCGTGGTAATCGATCGTCAAACAGCTCCAGGTTCACGTGTCTGTATTAAACCTTACAGAGTCGTGTGATTTCCGGTTGCTAATGTTTCGAACGTTTACTTTGTAGCGTCACACGTGATGATAACGGTTGTTTGCATTTTTTCTCGAGTGGTGCTGCACAGATCATCTTTTGCAACCAACATGAATCGGGGCTCAAAAATAAAGACCGGTTTCAATATAGTTGAAAATGTGCTCCGGATAGTAGTTTTCCCACATACGAGAAACGTGTACCAGCCCTGTTGACAGTCCTTCACTTGGAAATACTCAGTCCTCATTGCTGAACAGCTATAAGGCAATAGAATAAATAGTGTCTTTGACAATTTTACAACTGACCGCTAACTAAGTGAAACTCATTGTTCCTCATTCCACGATTCGCATCCACTGCTTTTACTCAGAGCGACACGCCTCTAACTGCAGATAGTTTCAACAAACAAGGATAAACTATTCGTATACATCAGCATGATTGGGATTATTTCAAATTCAACACGCATTAAGGAAGATTTGTGGGTCACTGGCAGTTTCTTGTTCCGAACACTCTTGATGTTGACTTCGCGTCTTGCAATTATATCGACTCTCTCCCTCCTGGCACCTAATCGGGATGCGTTCTAGTGTTCATCATCCTGGTGCAATTCTGTCCTTCAGTGACCTTTCCGTTACGATTTGAAGGCTCTTTTGAGTTCACTTACTGTGGGCTGAGTATCAGAGGATTATACCAAGTAATCCGATCAACAGTTCCACCAATGGGATAGAAATCGAAAAGTGCATTTGCGAACAATTGAGTTAGTACAACAACGCAAAAATGAGACGCAGGTTATTCATCAGTACTGTGTGTCAAAGGATTCCAATGGCATTTCCGGAAGGCCTGTCTCAAACTAGTCGACATGAGAAAGCCCTTGTCAGGCGGGTGAAACACCATCGTCACTGTTTCCCGTTTTAGTTTCTACTCTTCGCAGTTATCACAAAAATTTTAACTCAAAGTTTCCACCTCTGAACTGTCTTAAACATAGGCTGAAGTACCGCTTCCATTGATGACTAAATGACCTGTTGTAATTGTCCGCACAAAAGCGGATGTGTTTGCTCCCGGAAGGTTACAGTGACAAAATTCCTTCGAACTCGGAATAATATGCTTTATGTAAGGGGATAACCACCAATTAGGACTATCCCTAGGGACACTTATTATCGTTAACCATATATTGATTAGAACGGTTTGTGAACGAATGCGACACACACGTGAAGGTAACACATACAAACACACATACATGGTTTTACCCGAGAAACTTATCGCGCATGGAACAAATGTTTGCGCAACCCATTTACTACCGATTCGGACGCTACTCCGACCAAATGACAACTGGCCGGTGGTGGGAACAGGGGTATCAGTTTACCGGAATAATGATAATAGTGACGTGACATTTAAGAAACAAGTGAAGGAGACATGTTTACTTTGCATCATCACCTCTGAATTGTGCAAAGTGATACTGAAGGTATCGTTGGATGAAAATCGTCTACAGGGTGCAGATCTTCCGGCTCTTGACAAGGTTGATTGACCAGTACAGAAACTAAAAGGTCAGGAGGCCCGGAACGAGCAGACTATACTATACTCGCTAGAAGTTGGACGAACCCGTTGAACAAAATCCGTGACATTCAACGCTTGGGTATATTCGTGCATAGTGCGCGAACCCCAGATTGTCTTTTGCGGAGCTTTTAAAGCAGTTTTTGGTTGCATGTCATTCTTTAGTCAATAAATTAATCACGAAAAAACTTACTATAGGTTTTTGGTTCCGTTCCAGTGGTGTGATACAGTTTCTCGAAATTCAGCCGATGAACGCGGTAAAGAGGGAAGAAAAATGGTAGAAAATTTTGTTGTTTCAGAAGGTGAGTGAATTTCACACGGTCCATTACTACACATATGTTTTTAAACAACCCCTTCCCGGAAATAGCTAATTTGATCAAATTGTTTGCCTTGTGGCTCAGCAGGTAGATCATACCTTTTACAAAAGCGTAGGTGGAGTCCATGCATGGGTTCGAATCCCACCTAGGCTACTGAACGTTTTACAATTTCAACATAAGCCTATTTGATGTAAAAGCGATTCTGGTACTGCCATATATGACTTGTATAAGTCGAGTGGGAATTAAATACTTTTAGCTCCTGTTTGGCTAATATGATTTGATGAGAATAACGATCTATGCTAAGACTAATTGAAAAAAGGATCGTGAAGCCAAACTGTATTAATCGTGGTTGACTGCGAAATTCAGAAGGTACTGTTTATTCAGATAGTAAAGTGTTTTAAAATGCATATGGCGATAAATGTATCGGAATTGAATGAAACAAGAGGAAACATTGTTTAAGAGAGAGAGAGAACAAGCAATATGGCGGAGAAAGTCGAATTCAATTGCGATTCGCTATCTGTTCAGCCATGTACGAATATTCACATCAAGGTAGAAATCCCAGAAACTAGGATGGATTGCTCATCCACATTCCACATTCCACAAACCAATCAACTTAAAACGGACAGTATATGAACTTCTGCAGCTGCTGTGCAAAGCAATATAAACGAGCTCCAGTAGAGAGTTTATTTTCTAGGGCAAAGATAATTTGTTCTGCAGCAAAACTTGAAAGCGTTTTTGAGCTGACGTCCTTTGCCTTGCAAGATATTTATTGGTTATCCTCGGAAGATCATTGGTAAGTACAGCAGTACCACAAGAATTTCACCTAATTTCATGACAGTGATTTGTTTTCCAAAGAAAACCAAAATTGCAGTGGCTAAATCCGATTGGCAGAATTGTGAATTTCATCCAAAGCAGTGATGGTGAAGTGATTTTTCCTCAAATTACAAAACAGTTTTTTCCCCGAAGCATCTTGCGGTTCCCAGGGATATCCGATGAATTAATGAAACCCTCAGTGTGATCAAGGGTAGGTGTCTCTGGTTGTTGATGGTCACTCTTCTCTTGCCCTCGCTAAATACTTCCCTACGGCCAAGCGTCTCAAACAGCCTCTACTGAGGAAGCTCTGCTCACTGCATTCATGTAGCGGAGGTGTTTTCCCACCTTAATGAGAGGACGAAAAGCCAATATCTGAGTGCTGCGGTTTTTAATTCCCCAAAAACATTCACCGATCTTGGCCTGGACAAACTGCAGTATCGCGCGTACGAACAAATCATGGAACTT